CCAGTGGATATTCAGAAGCAGTTAGTCACATGGAAGAAAACTGTCCATATTTCTCCCAGGGATCAGCTGGTGACTTGAACCACCAGAGCTCCCTAGGCAATAGAAACTCCTTTCTTAAAAGATCCTTTCCTAAGAAATAGGAGAATAGTAAATGTGAAATCATACATGTAAAAGCTGCAAGCTCCTGTATATATCAATTTGGAGACCTTCTTTTTACAGATAAATAACCATTACAGAGGAGGAGAGTGACCTCCTTCGGTCGGTAGGTCGAAAGGTAGCAGAGCCAGGAGATGAGCCCAACTCTCTGCCTCTTCATTTGTTCTTTCCTAATATTCTCTCACATTCTGTGATCCTCTACTTTGTGGCAGGGTGGACCCATGGAAATTCTGTATTATAGCTCGTGCGTATTTCTCTGACAGAGAGTATAAAAACACAACTTTACCACACAAAACCTAAATCTGCTCAGGAGCCACTTTGTTTTCCGTGCTTACCTCTTTGATTGTAGTATTTCTTCCCCTCCATGAAAACCACCATCTTCCTCCCTTTTTGGGCATCTTATCCCTCATGATAGATTCCACAGTGGCCTGTTTTTAAATGGATGGTAACATAAATAATGGAACCAAAAAAAGATCAACTTAGCACATTCAAACCAAAAGAAACACACATGCAAATTAAAACAATACTGAAAGAAAATCCAAGCAAACACAACATACTGTTGGCGGATTAAAAATTTTAGAGAGGCAAAACCTAATGGTGTCCAAAATTACATTAAAATAACTTAAGCATGAAGACTTAAGAAGATGTTAAAGAAAAAACAAACAACAAATAAAATACAACACAACAACAACAAAGGAAAAAAAGAAAGCATTAAATATCATTAGTGATTAGTGATTAGTAAGGCCAAAAGTTTTCAAAATTAAAATGGTTTACTGGTTAAAATATTAATTATTGCCCTCAGTAAAATGATTATAAAATAAAAAAATGATCAATATGGAAGATAGGATCAAAATTTAAGACAAGGTAAACTGCAAAGAATCTTTTAGTAACTAATTTCCGAATTTTTTACAAATTGAATATTAATAGATGCATTTGACTTAAAATATCAAATATTGAGAAGAAAATTCAAACGCCCTGCCTCTTAGTATGATTTGAAAAGATTAAGTATTAGCTTAATAGCTTTTTAAACCTTTCCAAAGGATAAGATATCTATCTTAAAAGCTAATTCTAGGATCAGCATAAATGTTGCCTAATTCTTACACATTAATTTATAAAGATATCAAGTAGGTGAAACTTCACATTAATAAAAGAACGATTTCAGTCTTTTCACTGAATAGGTTTCAAATAAATAAAGAATCCATCAATTTAGCCTAAGTGCGCAACATTTCATCACTTGAGAGATGCCTGACACAAAATAAAACCTTGAATGTATGAAAATGCAAATAGGGAATTTCATAAAGATTTCAATTCACTGCAGGTTTCCCTATAAATATAAAACATCTTTTTTAAAAAACAAAAATCGCTACTAAGATTATTTTTCAGACCTAAACATACTGATTCTAAAGTTCACTTAGGGAATAGGGAAAGTGATGTTGGAAATTTAAGGAGAGACAAGTATATAACAATCACCTATGAAAGCTGGAAATTAAATGGACTATGCCAGAAAGATAGCATTAGAAGTTGCCTGACACCATTTAGTATGATGTGGGGTATGTTTCACATTAGCCCAAGAGACAGGGACCCTGGGACAGGTAGAGAGTCGAAGAAAATATCAATCAAGGTTGTAATTTAGCCAAGAAGTACAGCAATGGAACAAAGGGGGAAAAGTTTAGATATACTATTTTAATGATTTGTCATAGAATTTAAACTGAGAAGGGGGAGGGGAAAGAATCTGAGAGGGCTGAGAGAGTGAAAAGCTAATAGAACAAACATTTAAGAAGAGTTCATTATACTGCTTTGGAACCAATGAAGGAAAGAACCGTTTAAAAGAACTATACGATTGCATTATTTGAATGACAACAGTCCAAACTAAGAGGCGCATAGCAAAGTGGATTCAGGTAGAAGGAGGGAGGAAATTATGCAGCAATGAATGAATATATTTTTTGTTGTTGTTGTTGTTTTTGTTTTAAAAAAGCAAACCAGGGAGTTCTGGTGACCTAGTGGCAAGAAGCTGCACTGCAATCCCAGAGGTACGTGGTTCGAATCCACCAGATCCTCTGCTGGAGAAGGAGGGGCAATCTCGTCCTGTACCAGTCAGATCCAATTTGACAGTACACACACAAAAAATAATAAAGTTTAAAAAAAAATTTAAAAATTAAAAAAAAAAGCAAACGGGGGTTGGGGGTGTAGGGAGGAAAATGTACAACAATGAATGAGTAGAAATCCAAGTTTCCTGTAAACTTTTGTTAAAACCACAATTTTTTTTAAAAAAAAGGAAGAGCTGGAGTTGAGGCATCAGGAGAAGTAAGTAAAAAAAAAAAGAAAAGGGTAGAAAAAGAATATGGGCCATTTGCCACTAAGAAGAGTAGCAGTTAGCAACAAGGGCCAAGTCAAAGGAGAATGTCTGTCAGAAAAAGAGATACAGCTCACAGAACCTCACTATGGGTTCTAAGGATTGATTTCCGGACCAAGAATTTAAACCTAACATAAAGAGAACTTAGATGGAATAAATGATGACAAAAGCAGAGCACGAAATCTAATCAAGCACCAAATTCTAGAAAGCTCTGCTAATAACAGTGACCGTTACAGGGATATTTATAAACGAGCGAGAACTCAAATGTCAGCTAATAATTACAAGTAAAATGAAAAGGGCAATCAGCATGGTCCAAGTTCTCATATAAATAATTTTTTTAAAATGTAGAGTGATTATCTTTAGACTCTAACCATGCTTATTAAAAACGTAATGGTAATCTCTTAAAGATAGGAAAGGTCAAATTGACTTGATTAAATAAAACTTCATCAGTCAAATATAAAACAAAAAAAGAAAAATAAAGCAAAAAGTGGTGAGCCAGGCAAAGGGAGTAGCACTTGAAAAGCACCAGAAAGGGTGGCAGTAAGTATCCCAGTATTTACAATAAATAAATGGACAGAACAAGCCAGTTCAAAGACAAATAGCGAAAATTTTTGACAACATTTGAACAATTTTATATTAACACTACATGGTGTTCAGAGCTCTGGTGACCTAATGGTTAAGAAGTAGTGCTGAAATCCCAAAGTCACAGGGTTCAAAATCCACCAGCAGCTCTAAGGGAGAATGCTGGACAAACTCCTCCTGTACAATTAACTGCCTCTGAAAACCCGCGGGAGGGTCAGCTATGAGTTGCCTTCAACTTGACGGCATACAAGATGTATGTTGGTATTTGTCAACATAAAGAAAACTGGAATCCTCAAAGTGCACCAATAAACATCACGATAACTGGAAAGAAGACTGTTGCGGTCAAGGATTTCATTTTACTTGGATCCACAATCAGCATCCTCTGAAGTGGCAGTCAAGAGAGCAAAAGGTATGTTTTCATTGAGCAGATCTGTTGTCAAGGACCTTTTTAAAGTGCTGAAGAACAAAGAGAACAACACTTTAAAACTGAAGTGTGCCGGGCCCAAGCCATTTTCAGTTGCTTCCTACTCATCTGAAAATGGGATAATGAATAAGGAAAACCAAAGAATGTATACGTTTGAATCACAGTTTTTGCAAAGGCCATCCCATGGACTGCCAAAAGAACAAACAAATCTGTCTTGAAAGAAGTGCAACCAGGGTGCTCCTCAGATGATGAGATTATTTTGCCTCACACACTTTTGATCATATTATCAGAAGGGGCCAGTCCCTGGAAAAGGACATGGTGCTTGGAAAAGCAGAGGGTCAGTGACAGGGAGGAGGACCCTGAAAGAGGAGTGACAGTGATTACAACAATGGGCTCAAGCACAAAGGTGACTGGGCAGACAATGCTGGAGCCGGCAAAGATTCCGTCTACTGTCAACAGGGTTTGCTAGGAGTCACAGTTGACTTCACAGCACCTAAAAACTGTTTGTTCATATGACTTTTTTAAAAGTATAAAAACAAAGAGAAGTTGAGAATAAATGGATAGGAAAATGCACACAACACTGAGATAATATTCAAAAGAAAGTGAGTCTGGCTAACTGGACATAAAATCATCTTTAAGGCAAAAAGCATCAAGAGATAAAGAGATCACTGTATTACTAAAAAAAGGAAGATTTAACAGGGTGCAGGGACAATTCTGAACAAACAAAGATAAAAAAAAAGCATAGTTTCAAAATAGAAGAGTTCTATGATATTATCTGTTCCCTTTATAAAATGGTAGGAACCTACTCAATAGTATGAGACTTTCATTTAAAAATATTCATTCTAAAACTCTTCCCTGTAGCATCTGTCCACTCTAGCTTGCAGCCCATGAGCTGCCCAGGCAGCCTGTTGGCATCTGCCTCAGAGAAAAGGATTCTGGCTTCGTTCCTGTCTGACAGTAGTGCTGACTTGTGGTATCTGAGGTGCTGCCTCCTTTCACCCAAGTCCTCTGGCTACTCCAATCCCTCAACCAAGAACATCTTCTCTGAGGTAGCAGGATGTGCCAACCATGCTGGCATCCACCTGCCCTCCTCCTACCTGGGTTTCTCACACAGTGTTATGAAAACAATCATGGTGGAGGCAGGACTTGTTCTGGTGCTGCCAACATTGGTGGATTTGCCTTGATAAAGAGAAACATCTTCCAGGGGCAAGAGGTACCAGAGTCAGATTTTAAATTCCTGAAATGTCTATTCCCATTCATTTGAAAACAGTGTAAAGTATCTCTGTGGGCTAAATTCCAAATGTCCATATTAATCCACTCGTCACTTTTGGCATTCCCTTTCTTTTTCATGTTAAAGCTCACCTTTGGCAAAGGTTTCTGGAAGGCCTGCATTGCCAGGAGGAGAGGCGCTGCTGTTGTCCAATTATAGTATCTGGCATGGCGGAAAAATGAAACAGATGTCAGAAAATTTAGGCTCAAGCTGAAATCTCTGTAAGTCATGAGATGCAGTCATGGAAGCTCTAGAACTCCAGCTAGGTCCTTAAAGAGACTGAGATTGTTTCTGGCATTCCTCAGCCCCCGCCCACATATCTGCCCTTTGCCATTGGCTTCCAACCACTGCCTAACCCCACAGTGGCCACATTAAGAGAACAAGCAGTAGCCATGGCAAGAGCCTAGTCAGTCAGGCATGCCAGCAGCCACCAGCAGACAGCTGGAGAGTAGCCCAGATTCCACAGCAATGTTGTTGCCTCAAACTATTTGTACTTATGGCACTTTTTGCCACGTTTCAAGGAAAAGACAGAGTTAGACTAAGGTAGTAAGCTAAACATTTCAGACTCCATATTTGAAAGGAAAAAAAATAGGCTGTTAATGTCTATATCTCCAATAAGGAGGTTTTACAGAACTGAGATATGTAGTCTTCTCTCTTTCTATGTTAAGCTCTGATGGCCTAGTGGCAAGAAGCTATGCTGCTATCCCAAAAGCACTTGGTTCAAGTCCACCAGCTGCTCCACAGGAGAAGGATGGGCATTAACTGCCTCTGAAAATCCACTGGAGGACCAGCTATGGGTTGGTTCTGACTCGATGGCACACAACAAAAAGAACAATAACAACATATGGGGTCTAAGTCCTCTACAGGCAAGCACAACACCACTCAGTTACAAAATCTAATACTGTTGTTGTTGTTGTTATTGTTGTTGTTGTTGTTGTGTGCCTTTGAGTCAGAACCAACTCACAGTTGACCCACGTAGGGAGTTTCTGAACGTTATAAATCACGTAGGAGGAGACTGCCAGTGTTTCTCCTACAGAGCACCTGGTGGATTTGATCCACTTGCCTTTAGGTTAGCAGTCAAACTCCTTAACCACTAGACCAACAAATAAACTATACAGGAATACAGAACTTTCCCATATTAATAGACAATAATATTTTTAGCAAATACTTTATATATTCCTAATGTGTCTAGGTCTCTGTATTTTTAAAAAATGAAACAAATAGTATCAGGATACTACTAAAATGATTTTGAGTGGGAGCAGGGGGATTACTTACTTATTCCCAATCTTTACCACAAGATTGGGGTCATCAATGATAGCAGGGTTATCCACAAATTGCTGGTACGAAACAGCTTGCTCCAAAAATACATCTATAAAAACAATCATAAGGAACAAGAGAGGAAAAAAAAGAAACTTAGTTTAAAAAAAAAAAAAAGACAATTTTCACTGTCATTCAGGAATACTTTATGAGAGTTCATGCATTCCAATTGTGTGGTCAAATCTGTATATTGTAGCTATAAAAGAGGGCTTCAGTTTGTTCTGGGAATGTCTGTGTACAAAGATAGAATAGGTGAGGCAAAGGCTTGAGATATTAGGGGAAGTGATCACTCTTCTGGTTTGGGGTGGAGGTGTGGAAATCATGCAACAACATAGGGGCTGCAGAAGCTGTTACTGGATAGGCAGAGCTCTGAAGACAGACTGCTTCCAATAAAGGCATTTATTGATATGACCTCAGGCAAGTGATTAATTTTCCCAAGTCTCAATTCCCTCCTCTGCAGAGTGAATGCTAATCATTTTGACACCCAGCAGCTTTTTTGTGAGACTTAAGGAGACAGGTACTAAACATACAG